ATATATATATATATATATATATATATATATATATATATATATATATATATATACACTGAATCAGTATGATAATTTTGCACTGACAGGAGGTTTGTATTGCCCAGCAAATAAGTGTGGCGTGACAGTCTTAGGTGTGATGACACAGAGCTTCCTTGACTGCTACATGGCAGAGAGACAGACAGTCAGAGCTATAGTCACTTGGGTATATAGGAATAATTTTGGAAAATGTGTGGTTTATTACCAACAGGTTTTTTGTTTTTTTAAAGAGCCTCAGGCTAGAAATTACAAAATTAAACTTCTCATGTTTTGCATTGATTTGAATTTGTAGCTGTTGTTGCTTCTGTGCCATGGGATTTTATGTTTTATACTTTCAAATGTAAAGCCAGCAATATATTTTAAATGCTCAAATATTACTCTGATTCATGTTTAAAGCTCACCAAAGAAACCAGTTGTTTATTCCCGTTTTTAGTGGCTAGGTGGATGAAGAATAACATCCTTTTCAACTAATCTCTTTAACATGTAACATGTTAGGCAGATGGGTGTTTCTCCCCAAAAAGACAACAGTAAGGACCTGTGTATATTTTTGTACTCCAGTTTGAATTAAAATATTGCTACTAAAAGCTGCAGTAAGGAACATTGAAGCTGCTGGTGTATCTCTTATGGTCTTTGAGAACATAGTGTATTGCACACAAAAAACAAACAAACAAAAAACAACAAAACATGATTACACCACTTTTATTATAAAAAAATAAAATAAAAAATGTTGACGTCAACAACACAACAAATGTATTCATGCAGCTGTTTAAAAATACAACATAGGTCGCACACAGAATTAAATAACCAGAAACAAGCTTGTTAGATTACCATTTTATATTTCATAAAAGTGTTTTTAGTTATTATGGAGAACCGAATATAAACCGGGTAAAGAAAAAGCAGGGCGGTAAATTGAAGAGTTCGCGCGGATGCGTCAGTTCCACGGCTTTTGTTCTGACAAACACAAATAGACAAAATTACGTATTTCCGTTTCCGCGCCCTGCCGCTCTAGTCGCCCATTGCTGCCACCTGCTGAACAGATACTATAACTACAAGGACTCCGGGATAAAACCAACAAATTAGACCTGAATCTATTTTTCATACCAGAATCTGAAGATTTCTAGAGATAATAAGGTCCTGAATATTATTGTAAAAAAAAAAGAAAAAGAAAAAGAAAGTCAGTGATGTAATTTTACATAAAACACCCCCAGTTTTTAACATCTTCCTAATTGAATTTCACTCTTATCTAAAACCTCTGAAGTAAAAAAAAAAAAAAAACATTAAACATTTTTTTTTTCAAAAATTAAAGAAGCTGTGTAATATGTCAATGGAATTAGGAACAAAAAAGGAGTAATCTTAAAATTTACTTTTACAAATCACAAAGTAGGGCCTCTTCAACAATTGTACAAGCTGACAAAATGTAAGGAATGGTTTTAGCATATATAAGGTTTCCATTGTAAAGCAAACACTTTCTGATCTACTATGAATTATGCATTACACACAGGTCAATAAAATCTTCATTACTCCAAAAAAGCAAAGAACAAAAACAATCTTCTTTCAACTTTGGCAATTTTGGCTTTATTTCTAAAAATGTACCCCCTTTGTTACCCCTGCTGAGTGGTCAAACTAGATTTAAATTCACAGGGTTTTGACATAAAACAAAATTGAGAGAACATAGAGAAGAATAATCCTAAATATATTTTTAATACAGTTGCAGAACCATCCATCCCATCTACCTTTAGCAGTAAGGATTTTATGGGGTTCTTTATAAATATGATTGATTCAAAAAAAAAAAGAAAAAAAGAAAGAAAATATTTTTTATTATATGCATTATATTTTATTATTATTAAAAAACCTGAAATTTTAGAACTGTAAATTCACAGTCATATGTTTATAT